AGGGAATACAATCCCTACATGATCCTTGACATAATTCCTCTACAATGACTTCCCTTATTCGCTGCCCCCAGGAACCCCTCAAAACAGCTCAGGACCCTCAACCCTTAACCCCAAACCCTAAACTCATTCAATTCATGCCTGGAAGTTGGATACGCACTTCGTACCTCAGCTTACTGGAGGGTTGAGTAGGGAAGAAAGGGATACATTATTGAGGGACTATGCAGGGATTCTATTCCCTTATTCCTTCTTAACCACCAGGCAGTCAGGCAGCGGGGTGCAAATTTGAAAGGCTTACGAGTTACGGGTATTTGGAGCAGCGGCGTTGAGCTTACGCTGTGAAAACCTTACTCTACAGTCCTTAAAAAATCTATTTAAATAATAAAAAACCGAAAATGATCCCTCAAACCCTTTTTTGCATGTCGGACTCTTAGCTGCGGTCCCCCAAACCGTGAAAAAAATAGACCCCCCTCTCAATTGCTGTCCTTTCAAATGCGCCATTCTAAGGGGTAGATGCCCAGGAGACCAATAGAAGGGAATATGAGGAATCCCGAGTTGCTTAGAAGGTCTGTTTAGGGTTTAGGGGTTTAGAGCTTAGGGTTTTAGGGTTCAGGGTCTAGGGCTGTTACGAATCTGCCGGATATATCCGGATTTATGCTTGTATGGTTGGGGGCAAGGGCTGAGACCCCTCCGGGAAGTGCCGAGGTTCTGTGATGGCGTATATTTCCCCTGAGCACCAAGTCCAAAAGCCTAAGCCGTACACCCATTACAAGTTAAAGCATGCGCCAGTTATCACAAAATTTGGGTCTTCCCTGTGACCCCCTAGCCCCGCAAGCCACATTACTTGTAGACTGTGTGGTGGACGCCATGGTGGGAGAATACTTTAAACCTTATTAGTTCCAGAAGCCTCCCTGTGGTCTGGAGAAAAAACTATTTAGAGCTGCTTCTTGAAAGCTTTTTGAACTTGTGCAATATGTGGGTTTGCATACATAGTACTACATAGAGGGTCACTGTATTGCGAAAACACTATAACCCTCGTTAGAAAAGAACTCCTAAAAAGGAACCCCGGTTTGTGGAAACCTCAATCTGTGCAGAGCCTATGACGGCTGTATGGAATCCTTGGTACGGGGCTTCAGCACTGCCCGCGCTGCATCTTTGCATTGTGGCATGAATATCGAGAATGTCTTGTTTTGCAGGGACCAGTAGCACAGATGGAAAAGCTGCTTATTTGTGGATGATTCGAAAGCAGCACCCAAGACAAGCAGACAGACAGCAATGTACTAAACGACTGCAAACCGGATAGCTGAATTATTTCAGGCGTTCACTCAAAAAAACCTCAGTGTCACCCGTGGTTTTGACTCCAGAGCTTTTCTTTGTGCTATGTCAGGCCCTGCATTTAATGCATTCGCTGGCACCCATTCGGAAAGGACAGTGACAGTTTGAACCCTAGACCGCACACCCTCAATTAGATACTATGTCCTGTGATTACCCGCAAACCCCAAACTCAAGCCTCGACTCAAAACCTGTACCACGGCCAACCCCAAAACAAACTACCTGCGAGCTAAAATGAGCCCCAGGGTGAACTTTCAGATTACATCAGACATCCACAGACAGCCGACCTCATCATCCGCATCTACACTCCACGTATCTCTAGGATCCCAAGTCCCAAGGGGCCTCAGTTTGCTGCAACAGCCCCACATGATCTGTCTCTTGTTATTGGATTGCATAGGATATTCGTCGCGGCAGTTTATGGGGTATCCATTGCAAATGGCCTCTAAACAAGAATGCCATAGTATTTCCTATACCTCCCTACTTTTCTTCCACGAGCGTGATGAAATCGTTTGACGATGGCTAACATAACCCTATCCCTATATCACCCCAATGTACTATAGTAGTTTCCATGCAGTTTCCATTTTCTTTTCCATTATTCCTATATAACCCCAATGTATTGCAGTAGTTTCTATTTGAAAGGACCCAAACGACCAAACAACCAAGACCGAGGCACTCTTCTCCAAGAAGGCTAGCAAGCCGCACTCGAATGCCGCACACAAAGCCAGGAGTGTAATGTCCATCCTTCGGATGGTCTCTCTAAGGGATTTGGAACCCCAGTAGAAAGTATAATTTCAGCTGAATATTAGGATTGTTGGTAACAGAAATTAATACTTGTTTTCAGGAACCTTGTAGGTCTAGCGTTTAGGGTTTAGGGTTTGGTGCTGAGGGTTCGGATTCAGGCTGCTGCCGGGGCGACTTGGCGAGTTCAGGTCATTTGTTGGGGTTTTCGGTTGAGACCCTACACCCTCAAACCGTGAACTTGAAGCCGGTAGCCCGTTCCCAAAGCCCGGTGTCAGGGTTTAGAGTCGGTTTGTTAAATATCCGGGCTTGGACATTGCACTATGGTGGATGCAAGAAATCTTGCACCACTCATTCTGATTCTGGACCTTCAATTCACGGCAGTTCCTGGGGTATACGGGTGTACATGGTGGAAGAAGATTTCTTCCATCCACTTTAGGCAGGTCACCAGCCATGAGGTAGTTTCCACAAATAGGGGGACCCCAATATAACTCAACGCGACAAGCCCCTGCACCTAAAAATCCATCCCTGCAGAAAAGGCGCGCGCCCTCGGCACTGACCGTGCCCCCCCCCCCGGAGGCGACGCTCCGAGTACTTTGCCCCCGTCTGTCTTTGAGCATACAGCTGGCCACACGGCTGAGGGCTTCTAAGGGTGCTATCTATGAATCGGTCTCCTATCACAACAATAGGGGAAATTAGATGTGTCCCCAAAGTGGGCCTAGACTTAGGGTTCACGGCAGCTTGAACAAGGAGTTCCTGGCAGCCTATAGGAGATGTACTGGCGGTCGGCTTATGGAATCTTCAGTAGCCTAGGAGACCGCACGATAGGTCAGCATTCAGCGCTTGGAGTTTGGGGCTTAGGGGCTGCCCAGTAGCCTAAGGTTCTTGCTTGTGTTTAATGAAAAAGGACAGAACGCGTCACAGAGACCACTTTCAGAAATTGGTGCTCAGGGATTATGTTTGTACTGAAACAGGGATCCGTTCCTGCATTCCCTCTGCTAACCAGTAGCCTGGCAGAAAAGGGCGCACGTTGTGGGGTTGGGTGGCTACAGAGTAGGAGCCCGAAAGGAAAGGTATCTTCTTGAGCCCCGCCGGACGAAAGAGTCCATGACCATACGCCCCAACCCCCCCCTCCGCAAAGCATACAGTTTTCGGCCGAAAACTGGTTCTTCCCAGGTCGCGGGGTAGGGGGATATTGACACTCCAACTGTCTGGCTTCTGCAGTAGGGTCATGAGCAGACGAGGAGCAGACGAGGCCCCAACAAGGGGAGGCTCCGACCGGCCCCAAACCCTAAGCTCTAAATCATGTATAGGGCTTATCTGTAGCCCAATCACCTACTGCTTTATGGGTTATATCTATGGACTAAGGGGAAGTTACTACTAAAAACAGTAGGTACTTGGGGGTTACTTATGAGGGCTTCAAGCCTGGCTGGGGTTTAGGGCTTTGGGTTTTAGGGTTAAGGGCCTGAAAAGAATGGCCCGCATAGAGATTGTGACTCGAGGACTATGCACCCAAGTACGGAGGGTTAGATAAAAAGTTGGCCCTCGGGGGTTTAGGATGTAGGGTGGCCCGAGGGCTTTACTTTTTGATCTAATCGCTATTTCGAGCTGTTGGATTTGCCAGCTCAATGCCCCCTTCCTGGTAGCCAGCGCTCACCCTCACTAGAAACACGCAATATCGAAGGACTCTGGACCTTAAGCGACAGAAACCTACAAAAGGGGGAATACGTAAGGGAATATAATCCCTATATGGTTCCTACATATGAGGTTCCCTTATTCCCTACCAATCCCGAGTAAGCAAACTGGAAGCAGAGCTCTGCGCCTCCCGTCCGATTTACAAAAGATATTCGTGTTGTTGCGGGTAGGTAGGGGGCCACGACAATCTCAACCCTGTCACCCTTAAACCCTAAGCCCCTCCATCATGGAACCCTAAACCCCTAACCACTAAACCCTAAACCGCGTGAAGTCTTGGCCTTTCTGAAAACTGTCCCCCATGAGAGGACCAAGTATTAAGGGGTGCCCAAAGCTGAGATCTCGTATCGGCCTTTTCTGGGTTGCTGTTGAGGAACTTAAGTTAAGTTACCAGAATAGGGGTATATTGGGTTTAGGGTTTAAGTTACCACAATATGGGTATATCATAACTAATAGGCTTTCCTCATTATAACTTAAGTTCCTTAACAGCAACCCAATTTTTTGTCCACCCTGGAGCGCGCAAATCCTTTCTCAGTCGTTCAGCCTCACCTCACAGGTCAGCTGGGATTGTTTGTTTGGCGGTTTAGGGTTCAGGGTTTTGGGGTTAGGGTGGTTTAGGGTTCAGGGATTTCTCAGACAGCTTATGGGCCTCCGAACACGGACCTTCTCTGGTATTCAAAAAGCCTATAAATCTATACATGAATAGGTTGCTGAATGACAACAGTTGACGATAAGGGGAAATCATCTAATATGCCAAAGTGCCACCTAGTTCTGTTCTTATTGGTTTCTCATCGTGTGGAAGGGGCGGGGTTGAGTCATGCTTGCAATTGCAGCTCAAACCTTAATAGCCTGGGTTGCTGTTAAGGAACTTAAATTAAGTTACCATAATGGGTATATATAGTAAATAGTAGGGTTTCCCCAATACAGTAAATTAATTTGAGTTCCTTAACAGCAACCCAATAGCAAACCAATACATTCTAATAACTGCAAGGCAAGCCTCAAGAATGCAATCATTGAGGTATACGACAAACTCAGTAGGAGATCAATCTTATTCAGGCTGACTACGGGCTTGAGGCCTATGGCTAATCTTAGTCCCTGAAGCCTAGACCCGAAACCTTAAACCCTAAACCCTGAACCCTAAACCTTAAACCCTAAACCTTAAGCCCTAAACCCTGAACCCTCAACCTTAAACCCTGAACCTTAAACCCTGAACCCCAAACCCTGCAGCCAAGCTGCTTTGATCAGTAGCCTCCTTCCTGGTTGTCGTACCCTCCGTAGCCCTGGTCCTCCTGCTTTCCCAAAGGGTTTACAGTTGGGGTTTCCCAAGATTAGGGGTATCTTAAGAGCGGTATAGGGGATATAGTATATGGGTATGTAGGATTTTGGGGGTTAGGGTTTTAAGGTTCGGGAGTTTAGGGTTTAAGGTGTTGGGATGGTTTGAAGGTTAAGTTAGGGTCTTAAGGTTTAGGGGATTTAGTGCGTTCCCCAAATGCAAGGATGCCATGAAACAGGGCTTTAGGCGGACGTACAGGGGTAGGATTTATGCAGCGTTGCCCCAACAATGGAGAAGCAAATGGAAAAGAACATGGAAAATGACAAGAAAACTGTGGTTTATGTAGGGGGTTCTCATGAGGAGCCCTTCAAATGGCTTTCTAGGCATTCTACGGGGATTTATGCAAGGATATTTAAGGTTATGGTTTTCAAAACTCCCTGAAACAAGGATTAGGGGTCTATATAGAGATCCCCCCCAATTACCACCGTTTAGGGTTCTTCGGTTGAGTTTGAGGTTCTGGTTCAGGATGCCCTCTGCTCTTTCGGGCTTTTGGTTCAGCATTTAAGGCTTCAGCACGTGCATCGCGAATCGCACAGCAGGCGCATTCAGGCTCTAGGGTTCAGGGTCTAAAAATGGTTCAGAAGTTTAGGGCTTCAGGTCTAAGATGCTGGTGGAAGCCTTGACTCGAAATGCGCAATAAATAGACCACATGACATCTCCGCAAACCTTAAAGAATACCCGCCCTTCAACCTAAATCATTTGTTTCGCCTGGAAATGTTGCAAATCTCCATCATCAGCCGCGCGGTGATAAAACTTTAAATCAGTACCAACTCAGGATACCTTCGCCCAGGCATGTTTAAGGACGGTGGTCTTTGTAGACCCCATGGAACTGATGGTTACATGCTAGACTAGGAGAGTGACATAAGACCCCCCTAAACCCTAAACCTCTGAAACCCCAAAACCCTCGAAGCTACCCTACCTGAACCCTAGACCAAAGCAGACTGCCTGGGGCGGCATCATTGGCGGAGCCTCTTCCTGCGGAGAAGGGTTTAGGGTTGGTTCAGGGTTTAGGGCTTAGGATTGTACTAGGGCTTAGGGTTTCGGGTTTAGAGTTGGTTTGGGGTTCTAAGAACGGGTTATGCAGGTCCAAGCCGGACCCTAAGATCTAGCCCTAAGCCGCCGAAAGATTTCAGTTGCTTCGAGGTATCAATCCTGGGCGAAGCCGGCAAACCCTAAGCCCTACAGTCCCCCTTAAGTAGATAGAATGTGGGGTATATTGGGATCTTGATTATACCCAAAGCTATATTCTATCTACTTAAGGGGGACTATAAACCCTAAGCTGCAGAGAGTTGTGACTCAGGCTTTGGGGCTATGGAAGTTACAAGAAACTGCGGAACAATACGGAGCTAGGTAATCCTTCGCAGTTGAAGGCATATCTGACTCACCGCATTGCAGAAAGGTAGCATGTAGGGTTTAGGGTGTAATCTTTAGGGTTTAAGGATATCGTATAAGGCTTATGGGGATTATAACGACTAAGGGGAGTAGGGTCTCCCGAAGTTAGGGGTGCCGTTTTGGAGGTGCCTAGACAAAAGGTGCCTGTGCTACTGCACAGCGGGGACATCTGCAGTAAGGCTTGAAAAAAAAGCACCTTCACGCTTGATCACCAAATTTCTTGCGCTCAAAATCCTGACGCTGCAGCACATACCGCTCACACAAGGAAATTCAGTCTGAAAAATGAAAGCTGGGAGGACATCTAGCACCAGGAGACTTCAGCTTAGATAGCAGGTGTGCCCTCTTGTCATGCCTATCCTTGAGCACTGTGATCTTCAGTCTCCCAAGGACTTTAAGCCTTAGTCCGTAAGATCCTCTAGCCTATACCTTAGGAGGACCACTACTTTGTAATAGTGGTATAATAGGAATATACGAGGACCGTAGGACATTCCCTATTATCCCCTATACTTACTATTACTGTGTTGGGGCTCCACCTACCCTATACCTTAGTGATCTACTGGTATCCCCCTTTCTGCAGAGCACCCCTCTGAGAAACAATTAGCTGTTTATTGGGGCTTGCAGTTCCCTGACCCCAAAAACTCTGACTCCTAACTGAAAGCCCTTGAAACCCTCCTTCCTAAAACCTTTACACCCCAAATCCTAAACCCTTAAACCCTTTTGCAACTACCTAAAAACTAAGCCCTTTGATTCCCTAGAAGCTCGACTTGCAGACTTCCACGCCTTAGGCTCATGGACGATGACGTTGTCGGGAAGCCTTGGCTGACAGTAGGCTTTACGTAGGGATTAAAAATCAACATGTTGGGGGATTCCCAAACTTAGGGAGTCCCTTTAAACGGTGCTACAGGGGTTCTATAGGATTGTATTGTTATATGGGAAATAGATATGTGGGGGGCTTCTCAATGTCAGGCTTTGATTTGTGGTGGTTTTAGGAATTAGGTTTGAAGGGTCTTGGGGTCCGTATTGCAGCTTTCCTGAAGTCCTGACCCAACATCACGGAATCGAAAGGAGTCGGCGGTATACTGGAAACTCGGAAATAGGGGACTGCAGTATGCAAACGCGTGAAAAAATGCCAGGTGTCTCTAGTCGAAACTCCTAGTATCCCCCTTAATAACCCCTATAGTCGTCCCCCATATAATCCCCTATACAACTAACTCTGTAGTCTGTATGATCAGGCTCCAGGTATTGTGGCATATAGCGGGAAGCCTTTTCCTCGGACGTAACATCAAATCTACATCCAGTCTTGTCTTCATCGAAGGTCAAAACCAGGCCTCGTAACCCTGGGATTCTTCTATACCTACCAATACCCTATATGATCCTACATGTACCCTTTTTGCGGTCGCGAAAATCCCCGTTTAAGAGAGCTAAGGGCCAACAGTAGTGCGCCATACTTCCTCTAGGGAGAGAGAGCCAGGAAGCTGCATCTTTGGTCCCATCTTGCCCTCAGGGTCGTGGGACATCATGATCTTGACCTGCACGGTTTATGTCATCCAAGATAAAGCTCCCACATGCCCTAGAGTCCAAACTCCTAGCATCCCCCTGAATACACCATAGCACCCTTTACAGGAGTTTAGACTACAGCTCACAGGCCCTAGGGAGAAGGGTTTAGGGCTTTAGGTCTGCTTCCGGCGCGCGGATGGAGTTGCAGGCTGGGCCACAGGTTGGTAGGACGACCATGAAATCTTATCCCGGATGATTCCCTTGCAACTGCCCACGTCAAATCCCTGGCATACTCAGGCAGACAACAGCAGTGCGCCAATCCCTGAACTGCATTTAGCAGGGGAAGACCTCATAACTGAGTTACATAATCGGAAGAAGGCAGCTCTTGCTTGTGGACAGCACCATGCACCTAATCATTAAGAGGTTGTGGTCAGTACGGAGTGATACGGAATGACTGAGTGGGTTGTATGGTGACCATCAGACGGTAGGACTGCTCTGCGCGGATCCGTTCCTCCGTTTCTCGCTAGCAACCGGTAAGCACATAATCAATCAGGGACTATCTCAGAGAACGGCAACTTGCCTTGATGGCATGCAACAGGTTACCTGAAAGGCACTGGAGAACCTGAACTATGATCACCAGGCTCTGCAACAAAACCAGTCCACCGCCCTAGACAGGAAGGTCTGTCTTATGCAACCCCCGCACAATCCCACTGTAGTTGAGCACTGCTCAGATGGCGTGGACCTTGATGCCAATGGTACCCTGGCGCATCTGCACGTGGCGGACAGCTTCTGAGATGTAGTGCCTCTTATGTCGATAAGTGGTCTCGGCTTGTGGCGAATTTGGGCTCTGGGATTGTAGATACGGGGCTATGGGAGGGCACATCAGTCCGACATGGACTGTCAGTAAACACACTGCAGTGCTCAATGCAAAGCCTGCATACGGCAAGTCCAGAGTTACAGGTAGTGCCATGACAATCCATTCTGGCTGTTATCGGCTCAAAACCACGTACCGCAGCTTAGGCTGTAGATTCAAGCTGAAAGTGCGCAGCACACCACATGGGCCTCAAGAAATTAGGTTGCGGGTTGGACGATCTGCGAAGCTACAGAAAGCTGTCTAGGAAAGCGGTTAAGAGTTTAGGGTATAGTCTTGTTTCTGGACACGTGCCCAAAACCTACACCCCAAAGCCACTGGATGCTCCCCCAGGATCCAACAAAGCCCCCTGGGAGCTTTTCTTAAAAACACCTCACAACAACGCTGAGAAGGGACCCTACACTTAACAGTATATACCCTAAGCCCCTTAAACCACGTAGATAACCAAAAATCCAAATGATTCCCCGTGAACCGAGTTCTCGGAGGACCCCCTGTTTGGAAAAGCCCCGCCGCTTGGCCTCTTGGGTTCACCTGTGGAGATGAGATAGCCTTGCCTTGCGCAGAGTACATGACATAGATGGATAGGGTTTAGGGTTCAGGGTTTATGTGTTCGGGTTTAGGGGTTTAAAGGGTTTAGGTTTCAGGGTTTACGGGTTCAGGGTTTAGAGTTTCAGTGTTTTGGCTGTTGGCATGAAAAAGGTGTTGAGGTATACTACACTTTATCGTAGAACCATGATAATTGTGTACTGTGTGGATGAATATTGGGGGATGTATATGGTGCTGAGGTATACTACTTTATTAATCGTGGAGCCATAATACAAATCAATATACGGGCGCGTTTCAGTGGAATATCCTTTTGAGGAATTTAACTGTTTCGTAGAACTATAGTGAAGACGTAAGGCAATAATAGTCGTAGGATTCACGCGACCGCATTGCTTGCTTGACGCTTGACAGATCATCTCCTATATATAGCTGCTATAGTACCCGTAGACTTCTCCAACCTAGGGCCCTTCGTAGGTTGACCTCTTGCTTGAAAATTTCATGCGACTCATCAACTCATTAAGGATGCAGGCCGCCAACCAAACAAATGAATACCTCGCCTGAACTTCATCGCCTTCGCTCGCTGTGCTCGGAGCTTTCCGCTGATGATGACCTCCACGCCCTTGGCGCCGTTCTCCATGATGAACCTCCGAAGTTGCATGCTTCAACAGTGCATGTAACTCATGAAAGCCACACTGAGTGTAACCTCGCAAGGGATGAAAGTACTTATGCTCGGGCCCGTATTTCTTCTACTATACCATTATTAGTGGGTGCGGGCTCAACCCAACAAATACCTTTTTGGAGTCCCATCATGAAAGCCTGTTCGTTAGGCTGAGCTGCCCTGGGAGCAGCATGAGCTTCTGGGTATATTGGCTCTCCTGCTTTATGATGGGAGCCAGCAGCCCAAGCCACACTTTAGCGTTACTCACCAGCCGCTACGGAAGTGGCAGGCAATCATATTAGCGTTGGATCAGAAGACCAGTATTGGAATTTCTCGAAATTATCTCCAGTACGAGAAGCCCAGTGTCGTAATTTCTTGACATCATCCCCAGTATGGACCACAACCGGACACCCCCCAAAATCCCCCTATCATCCCTGTATATATCCCCGGAATACCTAAGAAGACCCCTGTGTGAAGGAGCCCTAAATCCCAAGCCCTAAACCCTAAGCCCTAAACCCGAAGCCCTAAACCTAAACCCTAAACCCTCATATTTTCTTGGTTCAAGGCGTGGGCCTGAGAACGCCATAGCAGGCGCGGCGCACGGCCAGACCGCCGATGAGCTTGAAGCCTGTGACTGCAAAGCTTAGGGTTCAGAGGCTTGGGGTTTAGGGTTTAGAGAAAAGTTATTGGGTGGGAATTACTAAAAAAGTTTAGGGCTTAGGTTTCTCCTTCAGACCTTTGAAGCTCATGAAGGATCTGGATGCTGTGGGGCGTGTATCTTGGGGCGTGTATCTTTTCAGATGCATACACAGGTAGGAGTACGCTTCCTCCCACACTGGGGAATATTTAATGTTAGGGGGGTGGGGGTTTAATATTAGGGGGAGGGGATTAAACACAATTTCCAGAAGGACCTCCCTAAAGCCTAAACCCCTAATGGCCTGTTAGGAATCTTCATAAACCCTCGGTTGCCAGACTAGCCGGCAAGCAAGCTTGCACAGCTACCCTCAACCCGAAAACTACACCCTGAACCCTCAACCCCAACCCCTAAATATGAAGCCTGAACCCTATACTCCGATGCCTGAAACCCGTATTTGAACCCAGACTCTGATCCACCCCAACCCTACACCCCAAATCAACCTAAGCCCGGACCTTTTGCCCTGAACCCTCCCACTCTGCTCACTGAACTGGCTCCGAAATCTGACTCTTGAATCGACGGTCACTCATGGACACCATTGTGAAGGATCGTTGCGGACTGTTCTTCAGGGGTGTTGCAGGGCGTGTTGGGCTTGCTAAGACCTGCGTATGAAAAGGGTCCAATCCCCAGAGTCTGAAATCCCGCAGGCTAAGCCCCAAAAACCCTGAACCATAAATCTCTTAACCCTAAACCCTAAATCCCTGAACCCTCAACGTAACCCTAAATCCCTTAACCCTAAACTTAACCCTAAATCCCTTAACCTTAAAAATCCCTTAGCCCTACACCCTGAATCCTAAACACCAAAACTTATACCTTTCAATTCGGCGGTCGCACCCTAGCAACTCTACCGGCCCAAGCCTACCCTAAACCCTAAATGGTTTACAGCCCCGGGTTTGGGTTTAGGGTTCAGAGCCATAAACCCTAGACTCAGTAAACCCTAAGCCCTGATATGCACTCAAGATCAATCAACAAGCCTTAAGGCGAATTATGGAAGCGCCAAACCTGATCCCAACATTCACCCCAAAACACCTAAAACCTACTCAGGGATGGATTCGCAATACGGTTTAGGGTAATGCACCCATTCCCAAATCCCAAGCCCCAATATGTACCCCGAACCCTGATCCCTAAAGTCCTACTATGCATCCTGCAACCTCTGAGCACTTTAGGGTTTTAGGGTTCAGGGTTTTAGGGTTCGAGGGTTTAGGGTTTTAGGGTTCAAGGTTTTAGGGTTTGAGGTTTTTTTTTGCGCACCTATTTTGCGTCTGCACAAAGGGTTTTAGGGTTTAGGGTTTAGCTCAAGGCCCCTGAACCGCAAGGCCCTACTAAGTTCCGTAAAGTCCTCCCTTGAGCCCCGCGTAAACCACCCCTTAACTCCCCTTTAAGCCTACCTGAAATATAAAAGCACTCCGCAAGGACGGGAAAAAAAAAGGTCCAGGAACGAAGGGATTCGCACTGAGCCATTGCGCAGCTTGCTCGGTTCCTTCGGGGAGCTGATTAGGGGCAATCCTAGGGACGCTGAGCACATATGAGCTACAGTCTAAACTCCTAAAAGGGGGTCATATAAGAGAGGTTTATGGGGGCTACTAAGTGTTTAAAGGGGATACTAGGAGTTTTAGACAAAAGCTCATATTAAGACCAGAAGTAGCTTGGGGCTTTGTACACATCGGTTTGGGCAGTAACCATCAAGGTGAAACCTTGGGTCGAGGTTGGCTCATCATGTCACTTGAGAAGCCTTTTTTTGGTGGTTGAACCTAGTAAGACTATAATCCTAGTATAAAACACTATACCCAAAAGGAGGATAGAATCTTACTCTATACTGGGTACCATGATATCCCCAAATAAAATAATACTCACTTGAAGATTCATGTTTTGGTGCCCTCACGAGAAGAAAAGCCCAACCCCAGAACGGACCTTGAGTATGTATGGTTTAGGGTTTAGGGCTTATGTACTCCAAGCCTCCTCAGGCCAAAAAAAACATGACGACATCCAAAGCGACGAGGGGCTCTACACGCTCGGCGAAGAGCTCCACGCTGTTCTCAGGAAAGCCGAAACGCTTCTGCACCTTAGAAAACAAATTAGGGTCTAGGGTCCAGAAATCCCGTTACTATCATCGTACTTGCTAGCTAGGTTACACCCGTGCGGTTTGTAACACTGTCCCATAGGGTCCAGAATATAGATGGTAATGCACTCCCCAAACTCTACTGTAAGTAACGATTACAATTGTCAGGAACCCAAAGTACGTTGTATGTCGGACCCTTATTCAGGATAATGTTCGTGAACCCCTATAGAAGCCCTGTTTCCATTTCCTTCTCCAATTTTGTCATTCGAGGATCCGTTATTGGTAGCCGCATTTGCCACAGTCCTTTTAGCACCCCAACGAAAGGATTAGGGATCTCCGTGATTTCCAAAATTTTCATTGTTTTGGAATGTTTTTTTTTTTAATGAACTTTGTATGAACCTGAATGCGGTTGCACAGTGTCCTTCTTTTTATTGCGATTGTGCATGGGTTTTAATTAGGTTCTAATCGGATTCTAGGAAAGTTTAAACTGGTTTAAACCAGATCAAAATCAGACTCCGGTTAGATTCCAATGACGTAGATTTTCATTAGAGCTTAACGGATTACATTACCAATGCCAATAGGTTCCAACCAGGTTTAAACCAACTTTTTTCGAATTCGGGGATAACTGATTTCATTACGATTCTAAAACATTAAGTCATAAGATAGACACCCCCGTCCTTATCTTACATACGGGTTGGAGTATATACTTATGGGGAGAAACCTCTTGTATCAGGGGGAAAGGATTGCTATAATATAGTAGTCTCCATTGTCGTTTCCATTATCCCTATATCACCCTAAATAATATACACATATAGATATATATATACATATATATATATATAGCAGTTTCCATGTTCTTCTCCATTATCCCTACATCACCCCTATTTATTATTATAGATCCTTATATCACGCCTATGAACTACAGTAGTTTCCAGCTTCTTTTCCATTATCCCTATATTATACACCCCTAAACCCTAAACCCCATAATTCATTAACCATCCCTCCGGATGAAAGGTGTGAAAGAAGGCCCGTGCGAAACGTTGTCGGGAAGCAAACCTTTCGCGCCGGAACCTCTAGTCTCCCCCTTAAGTAGATAGAATCTGGGGTATATGGAGATCTATCTTATGATGATGTTGGGCAAAATCCAAATTCTGTCGACTTTAGCAACCTCGCAGCCCCCAAAACATATTTTGGTTGTTTCGGTTCTTTCGGCTCCTTCAGGCTCAGGAAAGCCAACCTTGAAGGACCCTTGTTTGACAAAGGGGGCCGCGGGACTACTGAAGATGGGATGCTACAGGGTCACTATGAAACATTGTGGGTATGTATTGGGTGAGGCCCCGCCGGCCTAAACCCTAAAACCCTAAACCCTATAAAGGGACCCCAACATAATTCCTGGTGGTCACTATTTTTTGGCGTGGGGGCCCAGCCTAAGGTATGTAGTCTTTTACCTGCCTCCATGGTCCCCTCGAAGTAAGCGGTTTCAGTGTTTAGGCGGCCTAGGGTTTAGGGTTGAGGGTGCTCACCCTCAACCCTAATTCTGACCCACCTATGTCGTTCCTTCTAGGGTCTGTCCCAAAAAAGAACTACACCCCTTAATCCTAAAGAGGCTAAGCAAGTACGTTCCCAATCTCCGAGTCCTGGACCCTAAGCCCTTTCTGCAACCCCCAAAACCCAAAACCCTACACCCTAAACCCTACTGGATAGTAATTATAATAGGGTTATATATAGCCCTTAATAGGACCCCTAATATGGACTGTTACTGGGTGGGGGCAGTACCCAACCCTACACCGCTTTTAGGGCTACTGGTGCCGTCTATTCGCTCCCTAGCACATCTGCTGGGCAAGGCCTCCAAGAATGGATCCTCAGGGTATTCCTTGTAGACCCTAGGGTTATAGACCCTAGGTTCCCCAGTAACCCATTACTAAAAGGTTTCCCTACTGTTTAGGTAGCTTTAATAAGGAGACCCCGAAATAAACAGGGCAAAAGGGTACTACTGGGGTACCCAGGACCCCGGTAACATAATAGTTGGTTTAGGGTTTAGGGTTGAGCTTCCAGTCCTTGATGTCCCCTGCTTACCAGTGGTAAGCCCCAGACCCTATATATCCCATCTAAAAACTCCAGTTTCCATTTCATGTTCCATGTTCTTTCCATGTCATTTTCGAACATCTCTGAACCCTAGTTCCTATAAACCCTAAGCCCACCCCAAATTGTAGTAAGTGAGAATGGTAACGTA